CCAGAGACATTGTTCTAATGGTTGTGCTTGTTGTGACTACAAGTATGATTTTGCAATTTATATATTTAAAGATATTAAATTATATATTTATATAAAGATTTATATAAAGAAATCATTAAAAAGTAATAATTCAAAAATACCTTTCTCAAATAAGGTAATATTAAAAATATTGGATCAATAGGAGTAGATAAATGTAATTTTCCATCAGATTTTACATTATCATCTATAAACCATGATCTTTTATTTTCATCAAATGTTAAAACTTCTTGTACTGTTACATTGCCTGGACTAAATACAAACATTGCAGGCTGATTTGTAGCTGGATGCCTTAATTTAATAACATCAGGTACACCACCATCTGTATTATTTAAACTATCACCTACATATAAAATATATAAAGATAATATAATTTTATGAATATACTTAAAAAAAATATAATATGATTCAGAAAATAATACATATAAAATAGAAAAATATAAACAATTTTAAATAATAGAATTAAATTTTATATATAATATAAATAATATTAAAAAACACCGATATTTATATCATAATATTACAATAAATATATAATAAGGGGGATTTTAAATACAAAATAATTTTTATTCACCTTTCATTAAAAAAACCCATGTATTTGTACCTGGATGTGAATTAGTTGTTTTAATACATTTTTTTGGTGATGCTTTGGTACGCGGCATGTTTACGCGCGTATATAAATCGATATTATATTAATTATTTATTTTTTTCACACAATTTTTTTTCTTGAATTAATACACATACATATATCAAATCTAGCGATCAACCATTTTTCATAGAACCACCAAATTGTAATGTCTTATTATTTAATAGTTGAAATATATTGTATTGCGTATCTCTTTTAATAAATAAACACGTTAATTGCCACATGTCGCCAATGTTGTAAGAAATGACATTTGAAATCTCGATGTGTAGTCGAACATCAATGAGTAGTCGATGATCGGAAAATTAACAAAGAGGCGTTACCGCGCTAACAAGCCATCTTTTAAAAAAGGAAGACATATGAAAATAATACTCTCTCTCTCTCTCTTTCAAGTATGAAAAATTTAAACTACATATATGTATGTGTTTTTACGTTATACTTATATTTTTAATTTTATATTACTTTTCGAATATATTAATATTAATAAAGAGAAAGTCCAATAATTTTAAGATAACAAAATAATATTAAATAAAAAATTTATATTTTAATATTTCCTATATTATGCTGTTTATATTTCATTTATAATAATTATATGCATTAAATTTACATTGAATTAATTTTTTAATACTGAATACTTGATTATTAATACCAAACATTATATAAATATTAAATATTTTTCTAAATTCATCTGATTAGATTTCCATAATTTTATATAATATATAGATATTATATAACAATACTGATAAATTAAATAATTTAACAATTTGAATATTTTAATTTTTGATTAATAAATAAATTATAAAAAATATATATTTGATTAAATTTATAATATGGTATATGAAATACATTTTTGTGGCTTTTATTTATGCAAAATATAAAAATATAATTATGAATAATAAAAGAAAGTATAGAAATAATTTTAATTATATTTTTTCTTCATTAAAAATTTTATAAAATTTTTTAATAAAATATATCACATATATATGGAAGATGAATAACCTTTTTAAAAATAGAAAGGATTTGTTGCATTAATTTTCGTAGGTGTAAATATGTATTAAAGTTTTGTCATTGGAAGCATTGTGACTTTTTTTCCTCTTACTTATTACTCACTCTTTACTTAGTAAACCTTCAAAGAAATACAGAATACGAATGACGTGATATACGAAAGTGGGTGTGCCTGTCATTGGCTAGCCGGCTATTAGACGTGAAGGTTTTCTTTGCTGTTATTCGATATTATTCCAATTTCATTTTTCAAAAACAGTGTTATTTGTACATATTTTTAAATATAGTTATTGTAAGTTACATTTAATTACATTTTTATTTATATGGATACTTATACTTATAAAAGAACAAAAAATTATGATTGTGACTACATAGCGATAATAATGCATTTGTGTAATTCTTTTTTGAATTGATTAATAATTATTTTCATTTATTTTAGGCAGTTTGTTATACGGATAAAAATGTCACAACAACAATACTATCCGTTTAAAGTAAGTACATTTTTTTAAATTTAATTACAACTTTCTTTATACGATTACTAATCAAGTTGATCTATTTCTGGTATGAGAATTGATCAGCTATATTTTTATCGCATTCATTTGAACAATCAATTAATGTTCAATTTATTTGCATATTATGATTATGAAATAAATCTTTTACTATATAAAATATTTATTTAATATAAAAATTCTGTTAAAATCATAGAAACTTTAATGAACCAAGAGTTAATTATTTAATATTTATTCTCTATATTTAATATGTATTCTTTCTGTTAAATTTCATTATAGAAAAATTTGATGCAAATATGCAAATATTTTTATTTGTCACTATATGCATAATTGCATAATCAATAGATTTTTAAACTTAAAATTGATATTTTTGAATTTTTTTTGTGAAATATTCTCAGAAAACTTAAAAAAACTTAAAAAAAAAGTAAAAAATAAAAAATTAACTTTAGAAAAATAAAAAATTATTGATATGCCAACAGATTTTACTAAATTAATTATAATTTGTTAATATATATAATATATTTTATTTTATATCAGAATGTTAAATAAAAACTAAACAAAACAAGATATAAAAATAAACTAAACAATAAACAAATATATTAATTTGAAATAATATAAAAAATATATATTATCTATTTTAGTGTACTCCTACAGTATATCCTGCAGAACCATTTGATGCAAATGCAGATGCTGCATTGTTACGTAAAGCAATGAAAGGTTTTGGTACTGATGAGAAAACAATTATTGATGTACTTACAAGAAGAGGAATTGTTCAGAGATTAGAAATTGCTGAAGCATATAAAACTTTGTATGGAAAAGATTTGGTTAGTGATTTAAAAAGTGAATTAACAGGGAAATTAGAAGATGTTATAATTGCTCTTATGACACCATTACCTCATTATTATGCTAAAGAATTACATGATGCTGTTAGTGGATTAGGAACTGATGAAGAAGCAATTGTAGAAATTTTATGTACTTTGAGTAATTATGGTATACGTACTATTGCAGCATTTTATGAAAATTGTAAGTTTAGAAATTAATATTTTTATTTAAATTATGATACTATTTTATTAAATAGATTATATTTTTGTATATTTTAATTAATAGATTATATACTTTATATAAATTTTAATTACTTTGTTAAAATTTTAACATATTTTGTTTTTAATAGTATATGGAAAATCTCTTGAAAGTGATTTGAAAGGAGATACTTCAGGTCATTTTAAAAGATTATTAGTGTCTCTTGTGCAAGCAAATAGAGATGAAAATCAAGGAATAGATCAAACTCAGGCTATAGCAGATGCACAAGTATTATATGAAGCTGGTATGTATAACAATACAAATATATTTTTAATATTAAGAATATATAAAGATAAAAAATCTTTTTTAGATTAATAAAATGTAGATGGTAAATAAAGTCGTAAAAAATTCTGTCTTCTTATAAATCGCGAAAAAAATTTCCCAATGTATTTCGAGATAATTGCAGAAATTCACTTAATTTATTTGAAAAATAATTATTATTTTATTATATATAGGTGAAAAACAATGGGGTACAGATGAATCGCAGTTTAATGCTATTTTAGTAACTCGTAGTTATCAACAATTAAGACAGACTTTTATTGAATATGAAAAAATATCTGGGCATGATATTGAAGTTGCTATTAAAAAGGAATTTTCTGGAAATCTCGAAAAAGGTCTACTTGGAATAGGTTAATATTTTTTTTTAAATTTATTCAATAGAATGAAATTATAATAATAAAATTTTCGTATTTTAAAAATTTCATTTCATATAAATTAAATATAAATACTTTGATAATTTGTTGTGTAATAGTGAAATGTGTAAAATCAAAAGTTGGTTTTTTTGCGGAACGATTGTATGCCAGTATGCATGGTATTGGAACAAAAGATCGAACATTAATTCGCATTATCGTTTCTCGAAGTGAAATTGATTTGGGTGATATTAAAAAAGCTTTTGAAGAACGTTATGGAAAATCATTGGAAAGCTGGATTGCGGTATGTATTTATTTTTTATTACTTTTTTATGTTTTATGGAATTTAAATATTTAATATATTTTTTAATATATCTAAAAATAAAAATCAAATAATAAGTTTCAAAAGAGTTTGAATTTTTCATAAATTGATAATTATTAATATTTTAGGGTGACACATCTGGTGATTACAAAAAAGCTTTACTCTCGCTTGTTTCTACTTAATAAAAATAATTTGATAATGAATTCTTAAATTTAAATAATATTTATAGCATAAATATATGATGAATGTGTTTTCAATAATCTAAAATAACATATTTGTTTAAAATATATACATCAATTTATTAATTAAAGATATGAATATAAAGAAATATTTTATTATATATTTTATACAATTAAAGAATCTCAAAGAATCTCAAAAGAATTAATATGATACTTATTTTATTATAATATATAATAAAATAACATTTATTTTTGATGATGTATATTTTATTAAATCATATAATTATATACTATATTTTTATTATAAATAATTATATATTTTATAATGAAAATCTAATATTTACATCAATTGTTGTAAAATCTTTATAAAAATAAATGTATTGAAATATTCTCATAGTGTACTTTATATTTAATTTAATATCAACAAATATTGAATACTTGAAAATACTTTTTGTATTTATTAAAGAAACATATATAATTATATTATTAATAAATTATTTAATAATTATAATTTAATATTTATAAAAAATTATATTTAAATATAAATAAAACATATTATTGTAATTAGTTAAGTAAATGCTTATTTTAATATAGTTGATTTAAAATTACAAATATTACAAGTGTGATATTTTATACATATATACATATCATCAATATTTTTTCTATTCGTATGTTAAAATGATGATAGAAAATCATAGTATCTTTTTAAAAACAAATTATTTAATTAATTCTTTTTATTATTATTTATTTTATTTATTATTTTTTTATTAATTATTTTTTTTTCTTATTTCTCAAACTTCTACGAACAGATCCTAGGAAAAAAATAATATTAATTATGACTAATTAAATGATTATAACTATTTTAATATAATATAATATTTATATATAATATTTATATATAATATACATATAATATACAATAGTTATATAATATTAATATACAATACCTGCTTTAGATGTATTACATTTTTTATTATTACGAAATGTATTAATTAATGGATAAAACATAGCTGGCATTCTTTCGAAACATTTAAGCATTGGAGTTGGTATGGTTTTATCCAATGGAATCCAAGGAGAATTAGATAAAGTATGAAATTGTTCACCATAAATTGTATGCATATCAAGAATATTTTTCCTGGAAATAAAAATTATTAAAAATAACTACAAAGTAAATAATACTTATTCTAAATCAAAAAATTTAAATAAATAAATTTGTAATAATATATTTTAAATCATTTACCCTGGATTTTCTGCTACTTTAAAAACAGTAGCGAATGCTCCATTTCTTACTGTATGTCTCATAATATAATGTCCTGAAGATAAATTTGTAAGAGATTGAATAACATTATGTAAAATTACTAAAGAATCTTCGACTTTTATATTAAAAAGTCTCTTGATTTCGTTATTTATAGACATTGCTGTGCGATATTCTATTTGCAATATTTCCGATGTTTTTGCAGATATTCGAACTAAAATAAATATTATATGATATGATATTTGCAATATTAGGATAAACATTTTTACATTTATTATTCAATGCTATTATAATGTCTTATTACTACTAATTTAATAGGAATTAATTCAATATATTATAATATACAATATATTATGATCAAAATATTCTTTTTTAAAACTTACTTTTAATATATATAGATTTCTTATGTTTTAACTTTAATTAAATCAATATTTAAATTATATTTATATATATAAATTATGTTTATTATATTATATATTATTTATTATAAATAATTTACCTCGTGCAAGCGATGTATTAGGTCTAAAAATTAAAGATATCCATTGTTTCAATGCTTCTTCTAATGTTACAGCTTCAGCACCAAAATCAACTTGATGCTCTAATTTTGGTGTTAATAATAACAATCTTTCTATTTTATTTCGTAAAATCTACAAAAATAAATTAGAAAAAATAACGTAAAAAAATGTTGTATTATTTTTTAAAAATATTTATTATTAAGTTACAAAAATATTAAATAGTATAGCATATACAGACCTCAAATCCATGTGTTTTTGTTCGAACTAATATTTTGTATTCTCTGGTAATATTTTTCATTAATTCATTTTGTTCTGTAAGTTGTCCAATGGTAAATAATTTGTATGATACATTATCTTCTATCATTTCAGAGCATTTATTTTCTGTACCTATTCATTTATAAAACTAATTACTTTTAATATTTTTTATTTTTTTCATTTTTAATAATAATAATAATAATAATAATAATAATAATAATAATAATAATAATAATTGTTATAAACATTATGTTTATCATAACATATAATAACAACAAACAATAATAATAATTATTAAAGAAATTAATAATTTTTAATAAAAAAACTTTTAATAAAAAATTTATTTGATAATTGATCACTTTTATAACTAATTTATAATTTAAGAAATATATTAGTATATATAGATATTAAAAAATTTTACCTTCATTATTCATAGAAGCATTATAGAAATTAGATGTGTTATATAAATATTCTTTATTATTTATTATGTCAGAATTTACATTATTTTTAATATCTTCTTCTATTAAAATTTCTTCAAAGTTTTTATTCTTTTCTGACATATTTGAAAGTGATTCATTGTTAATTTTTGTTGAAATACTTTCATATTTTTCTTCTAATTTTAATAATTCCTCAGAATTAATATCTCCAAATATATTATCATCATGTTCTTCATTACTATTACTATAATTGAAATTTGATTATAATATAATCAAAGAAAAGAATAAAATTTTTTAAGAATAAATTTTTATCTTACTTGTTTGAAGGTAAACGTTTTGTATGGAAAAAGAAATATTTAAGAATGTATTTATATACCCAAGTATTTTTTTCTGGTATAGTACTAGCAACTGGTGGTGCTGGTTTATCTATATAGATAATATTTTTATCATTATGTTTTTTTATTATAAAAGGTAAAATCCATGAGTTTGAATTTGTTGGTCCAATATTATTTACCAAACACTTAAGGCCACTTGATGAAATTACTAAATCCACATTATTACTTTCAGCCAATTTTTGACAATTTACATCTTCGCTTACAGGTAATTTATAAGAAAATAAAGACTTATTGGAATTAGTTTGATTAGAAGAAAATCTTTTTTGTAATTGTTCTGAATTTATTCTCAGCATACATGGTTTAGTGAAAGTTGGTAACTCTATCTTTTGTAATGTACCCTATAAGAACTTTGTATTTAAATTTCAATGAAACATAATATATAATATTATATTCCAATTATATTTATATATCACATGCATAGGTATATAATATTTTATTACTTACTAGTTGTAAACAGTTAGAAATAAATGTTATATCAATATTTTTGTCTGCTACAAATGGAATACTTGTTACTTCGGTATAATATCTAGGTAATTCATAAATATATTGTAATTTTGATTTCCAATGTAAATTTATATAATCTTCACATGTAATTTTGAATGATCTTTCATGCCATTTGCTTTTTGCAAACTCTAAAAATTCATCTTGTTCTTGAGATATTATTTGTTTCAAATCCTATAATATAAAATTACATATCATAAAGAATAGTAGTGCATGTAATTCTATATTAGAAAAATTACTTCAATAATTTTGTATGATTTATTTTATATATTTTATATACCATATATTTTTGTAATTCTTCTCTTTCTCTTCGTGTTAATTTTGGTTTACCAGATTTTGAAAATCTTAATAAGACTCTTAAACACATTGCTTGTTGTTCTTTGTTTAATTGAGATTTCTTAGGAAACTTAAATATTGATTTAACAATACCAGGTACATAACATTTCACTTTATTTATTTGTTTAGATTCACATTCTTTTTCTCCTTCATTTATCTCAATGTCATTATTACCTTCTTCATTTAAATCAGGATCAACATCTTTGATCAAATTGATTTTAACATTTTGATAATCTTCTTCAATATTTTTAAATGGATCTGTAAAATTTCCAGTCATAATCCTATGCATCACACTTTCTTTTTCTAATCTTTCTTCATTAATAAAAGTATTATCTATTATGTCTTCTAATGGACAATTCCTGTTAAATTAATAATTATAAATATTGTTATTTTCTATTAAATAAAAGAAAGAAAGAAAAAATAATTATCTTAGTAATTTTCATTAATTAAAATATAATTTTTAAACAATTTAGGTTATTTAAAATACTCCAATTTTTTGTACTTACCAATCGATATGTAAAAATCTATCCATAACTAAGAAATTAAATTAAAACTGCGTTTTAAATATGTTTTTAAATCATATTATTATTATAGATTTTATTACATATCTTATTTGATATTATGTGAAGTTTCATTGAATTATTATAATCATTAATATGATACTAGTGTTTATTTTTCAAATGAATGTCAAAATAAAATTGACTACATAATTGGATTTAAAAATTCTATTAAAGAAGTCACTTGTTTTTTTTTCAAGAATTTATAATCAAACAATGACAGCTGTATTTATTTTGTTTCCCAAATTTATCGTTATAAGATTTTGGAAATTCTTGACACAAGCAATTGATATTTTTCACTTTATCTGTGGTTACAGTCACGCGCCAAGAACAAGTATAGACAAGGAGAGCAAATAACGGGAGAAGAACATAGATAGAATAAAAATATAGAAATCAGCGACATCTCCAGAGACATTGCAAATGAAACACATAAAAAAAAAGATAAAAGATAATGGAAGAAAGATAGAAATAGAATAAAAATTCACAGCGCCATCTCTTGAATATTAAAGATATTTCTTTTAAGAATCATGTTTTTAAAAGCGCTCAAAAGATGATGCTGATTCATAATTCTTATTCTACTTTATCCTATCTTTAAAAAAATGTTTTTAATATTTCAAAAACAGCGCTGATAATCAATTCGTATTTTATTTCTATTTTTTTTTACAATTTTTTCCTTTCTATGTCTATCCTCTCTCTTTGCCTTTTTTGTCTATATTAGTTCTATAAAAATGCACTCCAATATTTGATTAATTTTATTGTTTCTTCTATATATCGTAAGATATATATATACATATATTTTATAAATAATTTTTTCAAATGTAGATATAGATATATTTTATAAATAAAATATGAATATATTTTATGAATAATGAAAATTTTTCTACAGTTTTCTATAAAATATTTTTATATATTTATTTATTAGATATAATAATTCAATGTGAAGTATTAAAAGTATTAAAAGTTTCTTGTGAATATCTCGAAAATTAAATTCAATCGCTTATATATATTACATAATATAGATATGTTAGAATACATATAATATACATATAATAGAATACATATTCTTATATATATAATACATATATAAAGAAAAAGTTGATTAAAATTTTTATTTTTTACAATATATTTAAAATTTGATAAAAAGATTGGAAAATACAAGAAAATATATGCTTCTTTATATTTGTCTACATACTTCTTCCATATTAAACGATATTAAAGGCTTTACAAATTTCTTGAATTCATCTAATGGACACATCTTATCACAATTAGGAAATTCAAGTACTCGAATATTATCCTTATTTTTATAAAGCATCTGTGAACAATAATGATAACAATAAATTTAATTGTAAAAATAATATAAATAATAATAAATAAAAATTAATTTTGAAAAGTTTTGATTTTATGTGATTTTTTTAATCATTTTTATTAATCACATCTTAATTTCAAAAATAATATCCTGTATCAATTTATTTTTTATAGAAAATATGTTTTTACCTGAACGTAATATTCATTATTGTCTTCGTGTAATTCAAACATCAGGCTACTACCAAAGTAAGGAATTTCATTGTCGAAATTATCCAAAGCAGAAAGTATATATGCGATATTTATATCATGTGCCGCATACATAAACGCTTTTCGCGTATCGTTTTTGCTGATATAATCATTAACATGATTCAACCATTCGCGAATCCATATTCCTGTCGAGTGAAACAATTATTAATAATATAATAAATCAAATGAAATCGATGAATTATATTAATATTTAGAATTTTTTTATTATCAGTAAAAATAAGAAAAAAATGACAACGAAATTTAAATTTACCAGCTAATATTTGCTTCGATTCTAGAGTACGAATACTAATCGAAATGTCGTATACAGCTAATTCTTCAAGTTTCCCGGGAAAAACTGATTTCGTCCATTCTGGTAATTCTAAACCAATATCTTTCTAGAAAAAATTATTTCTATTTACGTTTTTTATATAGATAAAAAAATATGTTAATTATTTTCAATCTTTTTCAATTAATTTAATTTTTTTCAAAAGTTGAAAAGATACCTGCTCGAATAAATATTTATATAATATAAACACTCTTAATTGCGTGATATTACCACCTGTGTGTTCTGACAAATATTTATAAATATCTTTATTATCTTTTTCAAATTGTATCACATTTTCGTCTGTTTCTTCCACTATGTTTCTCAATATATGAAATTTTGAAGAATATCGAGTGTTATAAAGGCAGTCCATGGCAATTGGCATTGTCCATATAGGTATAGGTTGCCAATTCAAATCTGGATTCCACCTAAAATGAATTTTCATGAAATTACAACTTGTAATTGTTGATTCAATTTAGAAGAAAAAACCTTTGTATTTTGGAAGGTGGATATAGTCCAGTTGCCACGAGTTGTCCACTCATTACAGTTCTATCTATTTTATCCGAGCGAAACCAAATCTTCTTTTTCGTGTAAATTTCTCCCAAAAAATCTTCGTATCTTTCTCGAAAGAATTGGCCAACTTGATACATGGTCATTTTACCAACCTACGTTGGTAAATAAAATTAAAATTTGTCTACGATTAATTCGTGTTATTTAATCGAATTCGTTTCTTTTTATATATAACATTTGCAAGAATTAAGATCATGCAAATTAATTATAATCACATAATGATTATACAAAAAATGATATTACACGTACATTTGTTAAATCTCCTCGTCCCACCGGCTCGTAAGTACAATTAATGTAAGGATCGTTAGGATAAAAAGTGATATTCGATGGCGTTTTGTTTCCATGTCTGAATACCGTCTGTATAAGTTTCAGTTCTGCCAAAGATGCTCGACAACAAAGGAGGCAAATGATGAATCTTAAAGTCCATATGGTACCTATCGTTCTAAAAGCAATCGAAATATAATTTAACAAATAAATTTGTGTATAGCTTTATTCAATTTCACTAGATGTAATCATGATTTATATATCACGTATATTAAACTAGAAAAGATTCCATATAACATTTTCTTTCTATTTTTATTAAGTGAATCTTGCTAATTTTGTCATATTGATAATTATATTACAAAATCTTACCGTGTGTTGAATATACTTTTATTTCGTTCGAGCAACGTTCATATGTTTATAGTAGACAAAACTACGAAGAATTGGTATTTTAAAATACGAAAAAATCTAATGTCAACGCATTTTATACGGGAATTTATTTAACTAACGATAAGCTATCGAAAAATATCACATTATAATCGAATACTTTGCTTCATTTTTTTTACCAATACAAAATAATCTAAAAAACAAAATTGAAAATGAAAAATTGAAATAAAAATTCGAAAACGAATCGATATATACTATATATCAATATATACTCTACACTACTGTAACATTACTGTTGTTTCGTAAATATTCTTGTCTTATATACACTATTCGTTACATATATACACATTGAACTTATGTTTTATGTATGACACATGTTAACTTGATAATTATTTTACAAATATTGATATTCAGAAATGTACATATTATTATAATTTTGATAATATTTGAATAATGATTTTAGAAAGTATATTATAATATATACTCTAGAAACGAATTTTATTAATCAATTTCTATAAGCTTCATTTATTGTTTTATTCTATTCATACAATGAAAAATATTGATACGATATTTTTAGAAGAAGATGCACTGCTATCTATAAACAATGTCATTCACTTGTAATTTATTAATGTTCAAGTTTTTAAAGTATTTCCATTATTCATTACTCTCAATATTGAATTTTTTAGAGATAAATCATTAATGAATATGGTATGTATCGAAAAAATTATTAACTAATAGTATTATACTATATCTATACACAAATAAAAGACATTAGCATTACATTATGGATAATTGTTAAAAATATTTTTTCGTTCCTGTTTTATTTTTACATTTTGATCAAATCGTAGGATATTTACGCGTATTTATGGAAGAGAAGATTACAATGTTTATACACTTTTGATCGTATGATGAAAACATGAGTATCGAATTTCAACTGTTGTCTGCTTTCGCGTGTCGAGAATAATATAAATGTATATATACGTGTGTATATATATATATATATATATATATATATATATATATATATATATATATATA